TGTCTGTCTGTCTGTGTCTGTCTGTCTGTGTCTCTGTCTGTCTGTCTGTGTCTGTCTGTCTGTGTCTCTGTCTGTGTCTGTCTGTCTGTCTGTCTGTCTGTCTGTCTCTCTGTCTGTCTGTCTGTGTCTGTCTGTCTGTGTCTCTGTCTGTGTCTGTCTGTCTGTCTGTCTGTCTGTCTGTCTGCGTCTCTCTGTCTGTCTGTCTGTCTGTCTGTCTGTCTGCGTCTCTCTGTCTGTCTGTCTGTCTGTCTGCGTCTCTCTGTCTGTCTGTCTGTCTGTCTCTGTCTGTCTGCGTCTCTCTGTCTGCGTCTCTCTGTCTGTCTGTCTGTCTGTTTCTGTCTCTGTGTCCGACTGTCTGTCCGGCGGTCCTCTCAGGTCCAGCAGCTGTGGCTGTCTCCAGGACAGACTGACAACAACAACACGGGTCAAATTTAAAGTCAACTTTCAGCCACAGGCCCCGCCCCCTTCTCATTATAAGGACATGTGGGGGCGGGGCCTGTGTACAGTGCAGTGATACAGTGACATCTTGTGTTCATCTCATGTATTACACATGTGTCCTCCAGGGAAGGAAATGAGGAGGAAAGGAGGTATTTTTTTGTAAATGAGGAAATACAGAAGAATAGGAGGCAAGGAAGGAAATGAGAAGTGAAGGAGTTATGGAAGGAGAGGAGGAAGCATTATGGGATGTATGTTGTGGCTCTTCAGTGACATGTTAAACACATGTTGACAGAATCAGGTTGAATTTAAGAATTCTTTTATTTTTATTCAATAATAAAAAGTTCTTAAACACATCAGAACGTTCTGCATAAAATCAAGATTAAACATTTAAAAATGACTCAGAACTGAATTTTATATTTATCAACAATAAAAAACTAAAGAAACAAAAACTTTATTAACACAAACAAACACATTCCTTCAACATGACATCATCCGTTAAACTAAAGAACACACGTCGACCATCTGAAGATCTGACTGAAGAAGGACCTCCAACTGTTTTCATCCTGACGCCTCCTGCTCCACGTCCCATCATGCTTTGCTGCCGGCGCTTCGATGGACTTCTGTCACCACTGTAGAAACAGCCGTGTGGGGGGCGGAGCAAGACGATGCCATGGACTGTAGGCTGAGCATGAGACAGCGCCAGGTGAGCCGCAGCGCCTTCCCCACGTTCTGTCAGAGAACCACACAAGAACAAAGGTTCAGTGTCTTCAGCCGCCTCTGAGCAAGGCAGCGACACTGAGAACGACACAAGAACAAAGGTTCAGTGTCTTCAGCCGCCTCTGAGCAAGGCAGCGACACTGAGAACGACACAAGAACAAAGGTTCAGTGTCTTCAGCCGCCTCTGAGCAAGGCAGCGACACTGAGAACGACACAAGAACAAAGGTTCAGTGTCTTCAGCCGCCTCTGAGCAAGGCAGCGACACTGAGAACGACACAAGAACAAAGGTTCAGTGTCTTCAGCCGCCTCTGAGCAAGGCAGCGACACTGAGAACGACACAAGAACAAAGGTTCAGTGTCTTCAGCCGCCTCTGAGCAAGGCAGC